TCGAATCTTCCCGAGTCTTTCCGTCAGAGGTTGGAAAAACAATCGAATCTTCTAGGGTCTTTCCGTCAGAGGTTGGAAAAACAATCCTGAATGTATTAACATCACCAGATTTTAAAAATTTATACATCTTCCTGTTTATTCTGTGGTATATTTAAATTATATATTTATCTTTGCATTCAATAAAGATAAACTCCATGCTCCACAGATAAAAAGTATTCCAACATTTAATTCAAGTTTGTGAAAAGAGGGGTTGTCATAGCGTCTACGTAATACATTCGGTTGTTTTTTCAGCTTGTCGGAAAGGCCCGAGAAGTTGCGATCGCGATTTCTTTTTTCATCCCTTCTCTGACATGTTAATTATTTTTAAAAAATATTATTGTAAACTTTTTCTTTCATGTTTCTTAAACACTTTTTATACAGATTTAAAAAAATCGGATTGTAAAATGTTAAAACATGGAAAGTAGTAAAATGGGAAAGAAGTTTAACGTCGGAATTCGCAGCCTGTCGGATTATTCAAGGGTCAGATTAGACAGTATTCACTGTACATGTACTTTTAAATCATTATTTTCAAACAACTCATTCATTATTTTGGGATAAAGTAAAAAAAAATACTCTGATGGTACTTATTCTATGCATTTAAATTAATTCATTTACTGATAAGAAAATTATCAGTAAAGCATATGTCCATGTGCATGTTCTTTTAAATAAAAAAAGTATTTTTGCTCGCTTTTACCACATCACCGTGACCTGTCACCACTGTAGGATCGATCCCGATGTTCGTCATTCTTCTGTAGCATATTAAGCATACATATTTTTAATGCAGAGCATTTGTTGATTCACTGGTATATTTTCCATTTTACAATCTTGTCCTGAGAGAACATTTCTTAATTTATTATAATACTCAAAGTATTGAAACTGTAAATTTCATTTTGAAAATACATTGGATATGCCAAAGAATGAAGAAACTTACAAGAAAATTCACAAGAATTAAAAAGGTGTGTGCTGATGAAATTTCTCACCAGTAAAGATCTGTTAGAAGTGAAAAATATAGGAAAAAATAATGATTTTAAAAATCACATATTTACACAAAAAACAATGCATGACAAAATCCCGGATTGGTGGATGGGTGTGATTTTTTTTTATCATTAAGGTTGCAACTGCAACGCTTAATGATACACTAGTGTGTATCATTAGCAGTCGACTATGTCGATATATGCTTGTTTCATTAGACGTCGGTGTTTCTCTGCATTTGTGACGCTTAATGAAATAATTCTATCATTAAGCGGCAATTTAGCATTAGCGGTTACGACTGTCAGCTATTAATGCAATAAAATATGGCATTAAGCGTTGCCATCATGCCATAGAGAGACATGTGGAGTCATATTTTACCTTTAAAAACAGGTACACAGTTTCCCTGCACACAAACAGAATCTTCATTGCAGGTATGGTTTAAACAATCACCCACTAAGTGCTGCAAGAAAAATAGCTCAAAAATAGGTTATGAATCGTTTATAAATTAAATGTTTATAAATTTATTATGTACACATTTCAATGTTTCTATCTTAACATACCACACGACAACTAAACTCACCTCTGGAATTTTTTCGCGGTTGACATGAATGATGCCGTCTTCTGTCATTAAGCCAACGCCATCTCTGATGGTGAATCTTGTGTTTAGTTGACATGTCTTTATTTCCGGAATCCAATCCAGAGAAAGACACATTTTAAACTTTGTACAAACAATCATGCATAATACCAAGTTAGAATTGTTCAAAATCTTTAAACCAGGAGCTGTATAATCTGTAGAGTTGTGCATGATTAGAGTTTTCGGATCAAAGCACTGACTGTAGCACGCCTGAAGCAAAGTCAGGACTTGTCCAACGAAGAACAACCTGAACATCTTACGACGTTCCACAAATTAATTCTTTTTAGACTTTTTAGCGAACATTTTTACTTCGGTTGATGAGTACCAGATTTGTTTCCACTCCTCTGTAATGTATACATCTAAGGTCCAGGTCCGCCAATTCAAGATTGATAATGTCTCTCTCACTAGATAACATCACAGGATGTGTATTTTAAATAATAAATTAATTTTTATTTTTAATTATTAAATGGATAAACTTGAAACGATTTCATTTTGAAATTATTATAAATATTTATAGCTTTTAGGTCTACGCTTTGAGCTAAAAAACACAACATACATAAAATAAAATAAAAAAAACAAACTTTTTTATGTTTCTCTGTAGTCATTATGTTTTCATAAATTAAATATTCTTTTACTGCATAACATTTAAAGTTGAATATATATTTTATGAAAACATGACAACTGTAGCACAAAATTCAATGCAATATCATAAATTTATAATGCATCCTTTGAATTGACAAAAATTTAATAGACTTAGAAAGGATTGTCTTACATGTATCTTACTAGTGAACGTGTAAAATTTATTTTTTAACTCAAAATGTATAAATATGAAACATGAAATGTTATGTTTTTTATTTTATTTTATGTATTTTGTGTTTTTGATTTCTTATCTCCAGTCCTCCATGCAAGTATTCATTAATCTGTAATTTGTGGTATTCTGTACTTTGACATGCTACAATTATGTACTTGTTTGTACACAGTGAACAATGTTTAAGGATTTCCACTTAATTTGTGTATGTCTGTCAAGTACATAATTCTCTGATATTATATTAAAGCATTTTATAATAGAAAAGAATTGTCCGTGAGAAAGTCTAAAATGTCATTAATTAAGCAGTAGTTTATTAACAAAGAGTGCATTGAAGTCTAAAGGGGAAAGTGTTTATTTTTTCAGAATAAAAATTCAAATAATTTGAAAATCAATAAATCCTGCGGTGGAAAGAAAAGACCTAACAATATATTTTGTTACAATGTTTAAATATTTATCATTGAATGTTCAGCCTCAAGTGATCCCTAAGCTCACTTTCTATATGGTGTTATTTAACAGGTTACCTTATCTGACCGGTGTCATGAATGCCCTTTTGTAGTAATACTATCAAAATATGAACCCCTTTTGGTGTTGTATGAATTTCAGCCGTTAAAATGAAGTAATAAAAGAGGGGTTTGCGTTGCTGAAAATTTAATATTTCTTACATAAAATTTATCAAAATGGTACTTTTATTTTGAAACTTATCTTAATGTCAGGAAAATATCTATTATGAATTATGTTGAAAATTACGTCAGGCCATAGGCCAAGACATTGTTTGTTTGAGGGACAATTTGAAATCATCTATATCTTTTTCTTTTATCTCATGTTAACCCCTTTATCTCGTTAATATTTTCTTACATCCAGTCATAGTAATGAATTTTTGTCTATAACTGCATGTACCTAGTAGTCTTGTCTGTATTACAAAATTATTTGATGAGCCTTTGTGCCATTTTAATAAACAACAATATCATAAATTTATAATGCATCCTTTGAATTGACAAAAATTTAATAGACTTAGAAAGGATTGTCTTACATGTACCTTACTAGTAAAAGTGTAAAATTTATTTTTTTAACTCAAAATGTATAAATATGTTAACTGTTTGCATTGTTATACATTATTTTTGCTTGTAAGTATGCATTTCTTATGAAAACAAAATTCTTATTCTGTCTCAAACTTAATTAATGGTATTTTATCAGTGGTATCCAATGAGTCAGAACCCTTCAAAAATTATGGTCAAAGAGATTTTTTGCATTTTCATCAGAATTATATATTTCTATGAAAGCCGTAGTACTTTTTGTTAAAAAGTTATAGCCAAGGTTAAACCACTAATCTCCATGAAATTGATTACAATATATTGGAATATAAAAGTCATTAACATGTATCAATTTCGGGAAGAGGTCAAGATCAAAAGGTCAAATTTGTCCATCAAAGAGGGTCACAAGGCTGTAATTAAAATTCAAAAATAAATAGTTTAGTTTACTTCTTAAATACATGACATGTGCAATCCTTTTCTTCCTTTCAATTTATTGGACTTTTATTATTATTGAAATGTAAAAAAATAAAAAATAAAATCGATTTCTTATGAGATACATGTCTCCTACATGACCCTATAAATCCATGCATGTTTCAATCAGTTCAAGTATTCATTAATCTTTAATTTGTATTATTCTGTACCTTAACGTGCTACAATTATGTACAAGTTTTTTGCGCCTGTGCAAACCAAATTGCCATTAGTATTAAACAGTGCAAAATGTAGGCAGGGAGAAGGACTTAGTCCTGCGAACTAAGCATTGTTTTCGTGTACGACTGACTATAGTACGCCACTTGGTGCACATAAATTATAAAACAAAAATTACGCCCGAATAAAGTGTATATATATGATATTCTAATCCTCAGAAGGAAAATGAAAGTACACCTAAGTTAAGGCTTAAATTTACGACTTTTGATGAAAGGAGCCCCAGGGGCCCCAGGAGTTTAAAAAAATCAATTAAAAAAAATTGCTGGAGTATTGCCCGTTTTTATATTCTTATCAAGAAAAATGTATTTAAAAACGTGTACATGAAACGAAGACAACAATTGAAATGGCATTCGACTCGACTTTCAGATCTATTGATGACGGTTTATCAAAAATAATACTAGTTATTTGTCAACTCAAATTATCCCAGTGAACTTGAAATAAAAGACATCAAAGAGTCTGTCACATATATTTTATATTTGGAAGTTTAACTGAGTATAGACGACAAAGACCATATAACAACTAAAAAGTGACAAACGTAGTGACTAAAGTCTTTTTGTCAACTCTACTTGTTAATGTAGTTATATTCTGCAAGTTTTTGCCAACCGAATCAACTGTGAGAAATAAACTGAGTAGACTACTGATGACAAGTTGATTTCACAAGGGTTTGAACAATGTACAGTCACATTTGCTGTTTTGTTGAAATAGAATATTTAAGACAAAATATTTAAACTTAAACTTTGAATTTTATTGCTTTTTATATTTCATAAATAATTAATATTTTATACAATTTAGTAATGAAATGATTCTAACAAGATTTAATCTTTTACACAAGGTTAATTGTGAATAAATACAAAAATGAATATATGAAGAAAAGAATTAAAATGTTAACAACAAAAAGAATTTTAACTGAAAGAAGGAGCCGTCATTTGAAGCCTGTAACATGTTAGATACATAATTTTATGTAAATGACCAGTGAATAAGTCAGTTGGATGGGCAACTGGTAACCTCGCTGCATTGCTGTTTACAATTTAATTTGCATTCTATTATCTTATAATTCGTACATTTACAGTCCAATATTTATCTTATCATGCTTATATCCGAAGAAGTTGATCCTTAAAAAACTACAGATATGATAGACAAAATTTTCAAATGTTTTAGTAGATATTTTGTACATTTACATAAAAAAGAAAGCTTCAAATAAATTCAGCGACTTTGGCACGTACAACGATGCGCAAATTCATGAGTACCGACAATAAATTATTTATGCATTAATTTAATATTTGGTGCTTTAGTATGTACCGCTAATTCATGATTACACCAACAACTCAATACATAGTGATTCCGCTAAATTGTGAATACACCAAATTATATACACGCAGAGTAATCTGGAGGTGGAGCAGTAGGTATGTTGACAATATTAACCTCTCGTTCCCTAAAGCCATAAGCCGCAGGCAATTTATTCTCCAATGTACCTAATCTGTATTCTCCATAAAATCCTGGATCTAAATTACTCGGTCTATGATTATGTTGTTGGGGCAGATCTAAATTTCTTTGAGTATCAGTTCCTCCCTCGGGTGGACTTCGATCAGATTGCAATGCTTTATCATATGTCTGCAATACAGCAAACCCCAAAATGTTAAAGAAACACAGAATGATGGAGAGTATCAATGTGGCGATGTCCCACGCCTGGTTTTCTCTCACAAAACACCCGTACTCGACACAAATATATAAGATCCAGAAGATGGGGACAGAAGAGAGTCCAGCAGCTATGACATTAATTCCTAAACTCAGTCCGTTTATCACTCTGTAAATATTTACCTGTTAAAAATAATAATAATAAAAAGATATCAGTAGACCTGATTAATGCACATTTTCTTTTTTAAAAATCCCAACCAATTTATAAAGAATATATGCCTCTCAAACACAAATACAAACTGCGCCGTCTTCGAATTCTTTAATATTTTGTTTTGATGCTGTTATGACGTCATCGTTCAAACCCTTTGAGAAAAATCAATAATTTAACAGTATGATGAAAAGAGAGAACACTTTTCTATTGATTATAGCTCAAGAATGTTTTGCATGTTTTTTTTAAGTTTTTAAAATTCATTTTAAGAGGAATGTCGCTTTTCTTAGCTTAATATTAAACACCAAAGGTTGATGAGCTATCATTCTCTGCGAAATTATGCGTAAACATGACCAGTAAAATTAAAAATATTACAGTTCTCGTCAATTTGTAAAAAAGTTTTACTATACAATTTTAAAAATACATTGACCAAAGTATTTTATTAAAGATATAAATCAGCAATTCTTGTCTATTTGAATTTCCTTTTATAGCCGAGAATATTGTTTTTAAAAGTAAGATTTATTTTATTTCTGCAACGCAGTGGTTAGAGCGTCTGCTTTAGAGTCGCGAAGTAGGGAGTTGATCCTTACGTCGGGGTTCGAATCCCACTGTGGGACGTGGAGACCGGTCCTTCGGAAGAGACAGTATAAACCGAGGTCCAGGGTAGGCAGGTGCTGGCACGAAAAGGATCCCTAGCTCCTTGTTCAATGGCCCTGAGTGCCGAATATAGGACAAAATTTTTGCAGCTCCTTCGGCATGTGGTGGCGTCTCCATACGAGTGAAAAATTCTCAAGAGGGACGTTAAAATCAATCAATTAATTAATCCTATTTGTAATTCTGAACGCGTACTATATACTGCGCGAGTGCTAAGAAGTTGCGTCTATAGTCCTATGAACGCAACTGATGAGTGGAGGTACATAGTGGGAGATAACCAAAAAAAAAAAATGCAAATATTTAAGGAATAACTAATTTTTCGGTTTCATGATGTGATCAATCGAGTGGCTTGCGCGATACCTTCGGTATTTATTCATAAATTATTACGTAAGTAAATTGATCGATCATCGTCATGAAACCAAACATTTTGACAGTTATTCCTTATGTTTACATGCTCTTGATTCCATTAATCCACGTGCTTTAAGCCCCGCTTCTGTCTCTATTTGTGCCGCCCCGAACGTGATTCCTTTAAACCGCGCCTATCGAAGAACCAGTAGATTTATGAAGAAATATAAAAGTATTTTTACTATTTTTTTTATTTCTGACAAATACATTGGAATTGTCAATATTAAGATATATGTTCATTTAGTAAAGTAATAAGGAATTTAATTTTATTTCGAAGAATTAAATCTCACACAAATTAAATAGAGAAATACACATTGATGGCATTAAAAAAGATAGCACAATAAGAGACTAGAGCAGAACCTTCAATATGATTTAGTTACTTACTCTCTTGGTATAATTGGAGGATGGTAGATTTCTATCATCAATGTCAATCTTAGAGCCAAAGTAACAAAAGATACCACTAAGTAGAAGCTACAAATAAATTTAAAATAATCGTAAACATTTTTTTAAATGAGAAATACCTTAATTTATTATTAATTTATTGTAGATAAACTTTGATACCTTTGATTGAGAAAACATGTTTTTATATAATATATAATAGTATATAGTATATTTTATAATGTGGTCTTAAAATAGTCCCTATATAATGTACGAGGGTTGATCCAAAAGTAATGTCACAAGATCGATAAAATTGCTAATAGTCAACATAAATCAACAAAATTATACATGATCGAAGCAATATTTCGCGCATCATAGTAAAATGATGCGTATTTACTGTTTTAATGCAACTTTTTCGCTTAATTATTAAAATTGAACAAAATTAAGAAATTATAGGTATAAAATTGTAATTACAATTTGATATAACTGATTATTTAACCGATTTTGCAATTGATAGGTAGGTTGACGTCACTGCAGTGTCTTTTTGACGTTATGTTAATCTGTAGCTCTTAAAGAAAGGGGTAATAAAAATATCATTACAGAAAAAGTAAAAAAACATACGCTCTTGAAATTTAAAACATAGAAATTTTAGAATATCTCGAATATTTTTATTATGTTTTCTTGTGAATCCATTGTTCACGTCATATTTTGTAGCACTCTATAAAAATAGTAAAATTTGCTAATTTCTTTGCATTTTGAGATGCCCCCTCTGTTAACAAGACGGTAGAATTTTGCGTTTCTTACATATGTTGTATAATATAGTATTACTCATCAAAATTTATAGTTTGAACAAAATGTCTATTGTTGTATTTGTATAATTTTCTTTAAAGTGCTAAAAATTGGCATTTTCCTATATAATCCTATAGTAAATGTACCTGTATTTTGAGACGGTCCCTCACATTTACCTGGACGGTAGATTTCCCCCAAACTTTGCATGTACACTGAAGTTAATGTAAGTTATATATGGTATAAAAATGAAGAGTTTCGCTATTGTAGTTTTCACATAATAAAACTATAGTCGGCTCCCTTAAGACTAGAAAATGTCGAATTTTTTTTTTTTTATATTTGGCGACCAGAAGCTCTTTTAGATGCTTTTCTATATGTTTTTCTTTACTCATTCTAAAAATTTACACATTAAAACGTGACGTTTAGTTGTGACGCGGCGACACCCCTTATGTTTGATATTTTAAACGTCTATAAAATTAATTTAATTAATCATTATTCAATGAAAATTTCAATTTTGATTAGATTTATTTTTGTGCATCTTTTGGTATATAATATTTGATAATTTGACGCAAAAATATTAAAGATATTGTTACAGTGACATTACTTTTGGATCAACCCTCGTATGTAAACGTAATCAGTCCATAACGATGTCTTACACCTAGCGAAAGGTTTAATACGAAATGTTCCACATTTTTCTACGACATACGTTCGTTAATGAAAATGCAGCTTTCAATGTCTTAACTTCAAGAGTGCTGTGCAACAATATATTCAAGAAGTGTTGTAAATCAGATGTGGAAACTTAAAAATTCCAAGGAACTTTGGACAATTTGAAATCACAAGATTTCACCAAAATCAACTGCTTTAAAATTTACAACTTTTCAACTGTATACAAAACCATTTTTGAACGATGATTTAAAGTGCAGGCTTTTTGATATCATTGACGCTACTTTTTCGATAAGAATTGAACTCGTAAATTTACTTACCTTGTCATTAGTCATTTACAAAATTATTTTGTTAAAAAACATTCTGATTGTACACACAAGTATTCTGAAGTTGACATAAAAAAGATGCTTGAGTTTCTAATTGACAATATTCATTTCGTTTTTGGAGACCAGATTTTTCATCAATCTATTGAAATTCCCATGGGTACCAGTTGCGCCCTGTTATTAGCACCTCTTTTTTATTCATATGAAGCAAAATTTGTGTAAAATCTTATCTGTGAAAAGAAGAAAGAACTTGCTGTGTCCTTCAGCTCGACATTTAGATATATGGACGACGTGTTTTCAATTAAAAGATTAGTAATTTCCATTCTTATGTCGATACGATATATCCTGGTGAAATTGAGATAAAAGATACCACAAAGTCTGACACATCTGTTTCATATTTGGAATTTTTTTTCCGAAAAAGACGTTAATGGTAATCTAACAACGAAACACTATGATATACGTGATGAACTTAACTTTTCCATCGTCACCTTCCCTTATTAATGCAGCAATATACCTTCATTACCTGCAAACGGAGTTTACATATCTCAGTTGATTCAAGAACATGCTCTACGTATGAATAATTTCTAAATCGAAGTAAATTATTGAAAAACAATTTGTTAAAACAAGAATTCCAGCTGTCTCGTTTAAAGTCATCATTTCGTAAGTTCTATGGTCGATACAATGATCTTGTCAGCAAATACAATTTATCATTCAGTCAAATGCTGATTGACGCTTTTCATACTAATTGTAAGTCCATTATTTATACACTGAATTCACGAGTGATTTTTCCGTTATTTCCCGATTATGAAAAGGAGCACACGGCGGGTGTGACCTGTCGGCAGGGAATGGTTACTCCTCCATGGCACCTGATCCCACCTCCGATGTTTTGGAGGTCCGTGTTTGCTCTGCTTTTTTTGTATTTTATATTGTTTAATTGACTTTTTATCTTGAATTCTATTTCGTTATTAAAATCCTTACTATAAAATAAAACAATTATGGCCTGTTTCGGTGGAGGTATCTTAGTTTGTTGGTTGGTTGTTTAACGTAGGTTTCGAGAATTTTTCACTTATTTTGAGTCGCCACTATTTGCAGGTTGAGAACTGAAAAATTTGTCGAATACCTGGCATATAGGGCTATGGAGAATTTTTTCCCCCTGCAAAACCTACTGCGACACGAGATCTTAGTTTATGCCTTTTGGTGGTGAATAAGGTATTTTTCATTGTTGAAAATTTTCTGGCGGATAACAAACTATATTATCCACCGAACGAGTCCATCATTGTATAACATTATATTATTATTATTTAGTTATATTATTATCCTTACTATTCTATATTCTTATTTTATTGCTTTATATAAAATTATATTTTATAACAATATATTGTATATTATAATATTACCAGTGCTCCCGACCATATTGGAGTGCCTTGTTCCCTTGAGAAAATATCAGTATCTTTGTAAACAATCTTTAAAATTCCAAAGATGATGCTACCGGCTGAAACTCCTATCAAAACAATGGATATCCAAAAGAAATGTGTTGCAGCTTTCTTTAGTTCAACTGTAATAAATTGGCAAACATTACATGATAAGAAAATGAAAATTTTGTTATATAAGGTGTTTTGGAGTATCGTTTATGAAAGAAAATTTCTTCTTAAATATTGAATTCCAGTCCGTTAAATATGAGACAAGGTTAAAAAACATATAGCTTGGGTCCAACAAGACGTAGCATTTAATAGAATCAGTTTTGGATCAAAGAGGTTTCTTTAAAAAAAATCAAATCATTAGAATAGGTGAATACTGTTAGTTTTGTGAAAAATTTTGATTGATTGATTGTATATTATTTAACGTCCTTCTAGAGAATTTTCACTCACATGGAGACGCCACCATTTGCCGGTGGAGAACGGGAAATTTTTCTTATACTCGGAACTCTTGGCAATTGAGCAGAGCTTTTTGCGTGCCAGCACCTACTGCGACCCGGGACCTCGGTTTATATGGTCTCATCCGAAGGACCGGTCTCCACGTCGCACAGGGGGATGCGAACCCGCGACGTAATGATCAACTCCTTGCTTCGCAACTCTACAGAAGACACTCTCGATAACCACTGCGCCACGCAGGCGACTCTTTGAAAAAGAGGAGTAATATGGAAATAAATGGAGTCCTTGAAAAAATGTCGCAATTTGCATTTTTTTTTCAATGAAAATACATTTAAACTCATATAACCCCTCTCAATGCTGCAGAACTGTGGCTCTCAGAAAAAAATATATTGACAGACCGGAGAACAACAGTGCCACTCATTGTAAAAAGTTACAATGAGCTCTGGATCAATTCTTCCAAATTCTTACCTCAAACGCAAAAAAATATAGATTTAAAAAAATCCTTATACCTATATCAAGTAATCTCGTCGTCGACATCTGCACGAAGCGTGTTGGACCGAATTATCTTGCAAACTAAAATGGCAGTATTAATAGACGAAATTTCCGATGATCTCAATTTCAAGGCCAGGAGGGATATTTAAAACTATGATAAGGAATGTTTTGGAAACAGTGAAAGAATATGCTAGGAACACACAGTTAGTAATATTTTGATATGACAGTTTAAAAACATGGCGAAATGAATTGAGAAACAGCACACTTTTTTGAACGCAATAAATATACAATTTTTTTTTCAATGGGTGACACAATAGCTCTCCATAGCGGTCAACATATTTTTTCGGAGAGCTACAGTTCTGCAGCTACCCCTTTTAGTGTCTACATAACGAATTTATACGGTCAAATCTTTATTCGACAAGGAATGCTTACTACCCCATGGCATCTGAACCGACCTCTTATATTTAAGATATCCGTGTTTGCTCTGCACCAAATTTGTATTGTGTAATGGACTTTTTAGCTAAATACTGTTTGTTCTCCATTTATTTCATTTTAATAAAGTTCATTTTCTCTGAGTTAGCCTAACAGTTCCCTAACAACTGTAAATATTGGTTCTTTTTCTGATGCTTATGTTAAGTCAGTTAATATGTCCTTGCATGTTGATATGAAAACATCATATTGAAAATGACTTGGTCGCTATGGAACAGAAAGATGTATATTGATATAATATGTGGTTAGTAGGTAACGCGTAGGGACATATTAAGAATATAATGTTGGTAGACAGCTTGATATGATTTTATATGATATCCCTTTCGACCAATGAAATCCCAAGATTTTGAACAGATGCTGGATAAAATATCATCAGTTAATTCGGAACGAATACACGTAAACTGTCTCTGCTTATAAATTGTTTTGTTTCATTGAATGGTCACCGTTCATTTTATCACATTTCTTCATGTTTGATTTATACATATTGTATACATTTACATATAAGCATCGTCTTCAAAGCATTTCTACATGTTTAATTCTTACCAGATGATCGTTGAGAGGCACTTTCGTTCCGTGCTGTGTTGATCATTTTTGTAACTACTGCTTCTTTATCGATATTAACCTTACTGTGCAATAGGTACTGCGTAGTATTAAAACAGCGTAATTCTGTAAAAAATTAAACCACTCGAATGGAAACTGAGAACTAAGGTAGTTAAATGATGCTTTCCGCATTGGTTTTTTAAATACGTAAAATTTGTATACGGAAATTTTATTATAAAAATCAGTGAAATATGATCATGATGATTGTATCCTTTGAAACAACGTAAGGGCCGACAGGTGAAAATATTTTTTTTTTAGTTTTTGTCACCAGACGGATGGGTTTTCCGATAAAAAGAACAACACAGTATGATTATGCGTCGTTGATAAATCTAAATGTCATGTTTTTCTTCTCATGTAGATGTTTCTAATAAATTCTGCGTCATAGGTATGTATTATCATTCCTCATGTTACGTTAAAGTCCAATGTTTTTTGACATTATAAACATTACTTCTTTTTAAATTGAAACTTACTCATCCTGACACTGGTCATTTGTAAAGAATGAATCGTTCAAACGTCCAAATTTGGACCCCAATAATTTACAAAAAATAAAATTAAAGATTTTCTTCTTTTTACCTCCATCTGTCTATCAAACATTAAAGTTTATTATTTCTATGTTTGATTTTTACTTCTTTGCACTGTAAGGAATTTATGTCATTGATATAGCGTATGTTGTTTAATCGATTCTCATAGACTTTATGCCACACCCCCATTTTGCTAGCCCATTTTTTTCATATGAGCGCATGGATGTTTCAAGTTGTAGTAAATACGGTCAGTGTAAAGAGTTATACTAGACTACTAGTCATTTACTTTCATGAAAGAAATTGAAACAATCGTACGCTCACTTTTTACTTTCCAAAAATGTGCGAAGTGATGGGTACTTGTCTCTATAGTAAAGGTACCTTGTTTAAAAAATTCAACCAGTCTTTGACCTCATGAATAACAAAGCACTAAACGCGTGACTCAAATCTATTCTCTTTCATGCTTTGAGCAGACCAATGCGACATCGTGTCTTGTGTCTGCGAGCTATCGATGGTTGAATCATTTTCAAAGTTGTAATTAAAATTCAGGGAAAAACTTCTTTTTGGATAAGATGTGTTAAAGGTGCTAAGACACAGATTTGATGTTAATATTTTCTCATTTTTTCTGTATAATTTCATAACATATATGTTCTATAGAATTTCATTCGAAAATATAATAAAAACAAGGTGTGTTTGTGAAACACTGATGCCCCCGTATGGCAACATAGCAAAGATTAAACTTTTCTTAAATGCAAATTTAATTAATTGGTACCAAAAGTAGGGTATTCTCACTGGAAAACAATTGTGAAATTTGAAAGTAGGCCAATGTTAAAGTTTTTTTTATTAAGTACAAAAATCTCCAAGGTCAGAGTCAGAAGGTCAAGGTAATTGGTATCCAATGAAAGGTCTTGCCACATAGAATTCTTATGTAGAGTATGGAAGCCTAGCCCTTACCGTTCAGAAGTTATGGCCAAGGTTAAATGTTTTTAAAAGTGGGTCAAACTCCAAGGTCAAGGTCAAAGGGTCAAAGTTCTTGTTATCAAATGAAAGGTCTTGACACAAGGACTAAATGTGTAAAGTATGAAATCACTAGCCCAAACCCTTTAAAAATTATGGTCAAGGTTTGCTTTTTTAAAGTAGGTCAAACTCAAAGGTCAGGGTCAAACTGCTTTGTATCCAATGAAGGGTCTTCTCACTAGAATTACATATATGAAGTATGAAAGCCCTATCCCTTACCGTTCAAAAGTTATGGCCAAGGTTAAAGTTTTTTCACAGATACGGAAATCTACAAGGTCATGGTCAAAGGGTCAAGGTTGTTGGTATCCAATGATAGGTCTTTCAACAAAAAATATACATGTGAAGTATAAATGTCCTGGTATCTACTGTTCAAAAGATATGACCAAAGTAAAAGTTTAAAATTTTCATGTAAAAGTAGGTCAAACTCGAAGGTCAAGGTCAAAAGGTCAAATTTCGTGGTACCCAAAGAAATGTCTTGTCACAAGGAATACACACACTTGTGAAATATGAAAGTCATGGCTCCACTAAATCAAAAGTTATGGGCAAGGTTAAAGTTTTTGCGGACAAACAGACAGACAGACAGACGGATACGACAAAAACTATATACCCCCGAAACTTCGTTTACGGGGCATAATTATTGAAACTCCGAGTTTTAGACGCATTTGATTAACAATTCCTTGCACCTTCACAATTTATAACTTTATCCTAAATACTTAAGAAAAGTAGCAGTTTTGTTGTTTAGTAATGAAAAATATTAAAACTGTAATCCAGAAAGGTCAGATTAGAAATGTGCAGAAACAAAACCAACATACAAACTCTGTACACAACATTGAGCGCGGGCTGACATTACTAGAGAACGGATTTGCTTTCGCATATTTCTACTTTGTAGTTATATTTTTCCTCAATACACAGCAAAATTGCTCCTTTTCTTAAGACTTAAGGATAGAGTTAAAATTTGTGAAAGTGTAAGGGTGTGTCAAAAACGCGTCTAGAAAAATTCGAAATTTCAATAACTTCAAGAAAAAAATAAGATTTTAATTATACTTTTGTATGAAATGCTGTCGTAACATACAAGTAATGAAATTATACAGAAAATTTGGGAAAATATTACATCAAATCTGTATCTATGCACCTTTGAGAGTTTTGATTTACTTGTTATTAAACGCTATTTCAGTCGATTTGGTTTGATGTTTTTTTTTCTCGGTATTTATCAGTTTATATTTATTGAAGGCATAGGGCTTTCACTTACTGCTTGTGTCTTTTAATTCAAATTACTGTGGGTGTATATTATACATTTGCCGCTGTTCCTAAGAATACATGTGCACCAGCGTTACGTTTATTGACTTTTGGAATGTAATAATAAAAGTTTTTTTTAGTTAAAACTGTCATTAATTGTATAGATCGTTATTTGAAACATGCCAATTTATGATATCTTTCGAAAATAAACTGTTTGTTACAAGTGCACAAATGCATACAACCTTAACGGAAAAAAATTGAAGTATGGAGCGCTAAAAAGATCTGTATATCGGATGAAAAGTCACTGGGTGAAAACATGTGCACAAAATACACCCCTAATTTAAATTGGGGAGGGGGGTTCTTTAAAGTCAATAATCGCAGGTATTTTTGAAGCATATAATATTTAAAAGCAAGGAAGTGTATTTGTATTAACCTTTCACAAGTCCGATCACCGTATAATTAAAAATTTATAAATTAGTTACAAAAATCAATCGAATGAAAAAGTAAAAATAACTAGAAGAGGTTTATTACTTATATCTTACTATAAGGTTAGAGTTTGTTTAAATCAAAATGTAAACACGTGTTGATTTCTACAATTAATGAATACTTATGTTTAATTTTTACTTTCTCACGATTTTTATTTTTTTTTATACACACTGTACATTTTAAGACATTTCCTATTAAGGTCAGACGACACGTTCCTCAAATATATGTACTGTTTCTCTTGATATTATATAAAATATTATTTATATTTGTCATTCTCTTCTGATTTCTACATTGTTTCAAAATGTTTTTAGATATAAGTACACCCAAAATTGTGATATAGGCCATTTAAGAGATTGCCCATAAGGGTTATATAAGGAATATGACCCTGTGGTATCTTGTCCAAATGCCAGGTAAGGTTCCCTAATTTTTTGTGAGGAAACTTGTCTAAGTTCCTTTAGTTCAATGACAAATTCTAAGGAAAAATTATATATTTTTTAGGAATGTGTCGTCTGACCTTAACCGATAAAAATATAATAAAACAATTGTAGTCTTTTGAATCGGTACAATCCCTAGATATATAGACTTTATAGAAAGCATATCGATATCTAGGGATTGATTTCATCAAAAGGCTATAATTGTATTGTAGCTCATCAGAAAATAATGTAAATATAAAAAATGAATTCAATTTTTGAAAACTCATGAGGTACATGAACTACAACGCTTCTCCTCCATGACATACGATCCCTCCTCTGATGGTTTTAGAGGTCTGTGTTTGCCCTGCTCCAAATTTGTATTTTTTCAATGAAATTCTGAACCTGACAACTGTTTGTTATTTTCTATTTTTAAGTTTAGTAGTAACACTTTTTTTCGTCAATTCTAAACATAAGCAAAAAAAAAACAAAAAAACCATGGTTACCTGGATTGGTACAAATGTTTTCTCCTATTTTGGTTGTTAATGATTGGAATAATAAATTACTAAAATACGATGCTCAAAATTCCACCTTTGTGCAACCATCCTTTTTAGTCTATATAACTTTTTTGAGTCTTTCAGCCCAAGTGCTGTGAAACTTTGAACGAAAATGAAAATATATGCATCAAAAGTCTTCATTTTACTTTTATAAACATCACGTAAATTGTTATTGTAAATTGTAACCCTGTCGTCGTGGTTACCCGAGTCAGCAAATGCTACGTCTTTAACGACTCCATTTTTAACAATTTCTATAATACTGGCAGAATAATCGATAGAAACGGTTGTTGTGTGTATGACATAGACCCCACTTTGCGGAGCGATGAACTTTCCCGTTCTGGCGTCATATCCGTTTCCAATGTTTGTCTCAACACTGTCATAAACGAAAATTTTGTGCCTGTATAATCTATTCATATGGATGTTACTCGACATATAGGCATAAAACGCAATTTGTTGACCTGAATAAAAGAAGGAAAAAATATCCAGAGTTAATGTTCATTCTACTATTACCTATTGAACTTCGGTATTCGCCGTTATTTCGAATACTAAGAATTACTAGAAGTGATTTTGTAGTTCCAACCTTCCTTAAGGTATTCAATGTATAACGACCATATTTTGTAACTAATAACTGAAAAGTCCAATAATTTAAATCGTGGAAGTATTTTGAAGGTGTTACCAAATAAAAATGCTCAACCAGAGGAATTTACAAAATTTTGATTATTGTCCAATTGCACCTCGAATTTTAAACTGAAGTCTATGGGCGGCGCATATTTTTAAAAGATAATTTAAAAAGTAGTTTGAATTTCAAATAAATCTCTTGATGAAAATAAACTCCCTCTTTATTAAACTATGAAATAAAATGAACAATTAACCACAGATATTATGAAATATTTAAAAAAAAACTTATTTTCATCAAGGGCAGATAACTCTTAAAAAACTCCTAAAATGCAAAATGACCAGCGTCTTACATGTTATCAGTCGTGCGAATTTGGTGTATTTCACTTTTACCGTTATGTAGCAATGCAATTTTAACTAGTTTAAATTTGTTCAAAATCGATCAAAATCCATTCATTATTGTTATGGGTCAGAATAACCCTAAATGCCAGCAAAGATCAATAACACAATTTTAACTTAACAATAATTTATTCACAGTAATATATAATAAGTATATGAAACATAAAGTACAAACTTAGCAAGAATCTAAAAATACATACATCAGAGTGTCCGTTGCTGCACACAATGTCCCAGTGAAAATATGTATCCCAGTTATATCTCAATAGTGCTTATACGACAAAGTATAGTATCTCTATGCATCGAATTGACAGGGTATATATACAGTAATATAAATCTAGAATATTCTAGAAATTGTTAAAACATGATATTACTGGAACAATCTGGACATACACAAAATTTAAGAATGTTCTAGATAAAATGACCGAACATGTTGACCACTCTGGAATGTTCAAGAAACTGAATGTTACTAATTATATATATAATGAAACAATACACATCTCACAACACCCCCCCCCCCCCCCTTAAAAATTTTGAATGTCAATGTCAATGAAAAACTTAAATTGTAAAACATGTACATTAATACAAAATCTAGTATGTTTACGATACTCTTGACAAGGCGTCTGCAATAACATTGTCTTTGCCTTTGATATGCTTAATTGTTATATTGTATTCTTGTAACAACAAACTCCATCTAGTCAGTCTTTGATTCTTGTTTGACAATTTATGCAAAAATGTCAGGGGGTTGTGATCCGTATATACAAGAATTGGATGCAAAGTAACATTCAGATAAACATCAAAATGCTGTAAGGCTAACAACAAAGCAAGGCATTCCTTTTCAATGGTGGAATACTTTTGTTGACATTTTGTAAGTTTCTATGAAAAATAAGAAACAACTCTATCTACCTTATCACTATGTTCTTGAAACAAAGCTGCCCCGATTCCAACATCACTAGCATCAATAGTAAGCTTAAATTGCTTAGAAAAATCTGGAGTTGACAGAACTGGGTTGCTCATAAGGACAGATTTGATTTTATGAAAGGATTTTTCACAGTCCTTTGTCCATTTAAAGTTAACCCTCTTTTGTAAAAGATTTGTAAGTGGACTAACAACTGAGGAAAAATTTGGACAAAATTTTCTGTAAAACCCAGCCATGCCCAAAAACCTCATTAATTCTTTCTTGTTTGTAGGAATCGGGAACTTTGCAATAGCTTCCACTTTAGCCATAATGGGTGTAAGATAACCTTGACCTACTTTATGACCTAAATACTCTACATAAGCATGACAAAATTCGCTCTTCTCAAGATTCACAGTTAAGTTTGCTTTAGCTAAAATGTCAAATAAAGCACGCATGATTCGGAGATGTTCGTCCCATGTGTTGCTGTATATGACGACATCATCAATGTAGGCCTCGCATCCCTCAAGGTCTTGGAGAAGGGAGTGAATCATCCTTTGGAATGCAGCCGGTGCGTTTTTCATGCCGAAAGGCATTACTTTATACTGGTAAAGTCCATCTGGTGTAGCAAAAGCAGATATTTCTTTTGCTCTTTCTGTTAACGGTACTTGCCAGTAGCCTTTCAACAGGTCAAATTTACTGACAAATTTCGCGTTTCCAATGTTGTGAATGCAGTCATCGATTCTAGGTATTGGATATGAATCAGTTTTGGTAACAGAATTCACCTTTCTAAAGTCTGTACATAATCGGTACGAACCGTCCTGTTTTGGTACAAGAATACACGGTGAGCTCCAATCACTTCTACTAGGTTCAACAATGTCATTGTCCAACATGTACTGCACTTCCCTTCTTAGGTACTGCAATTTTATTGGATTCAGACGGTACGGATGTTGTTTGATAGGCAGAACTTCACTCACTATGACATCATGACAAGCTGCATTAGTTTTCTTTGGAACATCCGAAAAGATTTGATGATACTCATTCATCAAGTTTTTAACTTGTTCTTTTTGGTGAATGTTTAAATGTCCAAGTTTGGCATCAAAATCAGCCAAAATTTCTGAGTTTTTCAAGCGGACACGCTGATTACAATCTTTCTCATTCATTTCTACACTCGTATCACTTTCAAGACAATTTTGAACAATCTTAGTATTGGCTAAAGTGGAAACTGGTTTTACAGAATTTCGGTCACACCTTTCAAAATACTCTTTTAACATGTTAATGTGACAAACCCGTTTCTCTTTACGTCGACCTGGTATCTTAACTACATAGTTTACATCACTGGTCTTGCTTTCAATTTCATAAGGGCCATAAAATCTGGCCTGTAAAGGATGACCAGGAATAGGTAAAAATACAAGAACCTTATCACCTGGCTTAAACACCCTATTTCTGGCATCTTTGTCATACCACATTTTCATTTTCATCTGAGAATTCTTCAAATTTTCTTGTGCTAATTTACAAGCATTGTAAAGGTTTTATTTGAAATCAGACACATAATCTAAACGATTAAGATCACTAGTCTCAGTCAGCCACTTTTCCTTCAACAATTTCAAAGGACCTCTAACTGTATGACCGAACACCAATTCAAAAGGACTAAACCCAAGAGACTCCTGGACTGCCTCTCGTGCAGCAAATAATACAAGATGAACCCCTTCATCCCAGTCTTTCTCATACTGGTAACAATAGGTCTTCAGCATTGTTTTTAGGGTTTGATGAAAACGTTCTAGCGCCCCCTGGGACTCAGGATGATATGCAGTTGATCTATACTGTCTAATACACCAACTCATGCATGACTTGCTGGAACAACCCCGACATAAAATTGGAGCCTTGATCCGACTGAATTGTCTTGGGTGCTCCTACAAAACTTAAGAACTTGGTTAGGGCCTTAACTATGCTCTTTGCCTTTATATTCCTAAGAGGTATGGCTTCAGGGAATCGAGTGGATGTACACATAATGGTAAGTAAATACTGGTTCCCATATCTAGTCCTAGGCAAAGGTCCTACACAATCCACCAACACTCGACTAAACGGTTCTTCAAAAGCTGGAATGGGTTGGAGAGGAGCAGATGGTATCTTCTGATTTGGTTTACCTACCATCTGACAGACATGGTATGACTTGCAAAACTTCGAAACATCCTTTCTTAACTTAGGCCAATAAAAATGACTCAAAATCCTATTATAAGTCTTATTGATACCTAAATGACCAGCCATAGGTGTATCGTGAGCTAAACTCATGACATCTCGACGATAAGCAGCTGGGACCACTATCTGGTGAACAACACGCCACACTTCATCTGAGGAAGCGTCAGGTGGTCGCCATTTTCGCATAAGGATGCCATCTTTCATATAGAAGCATTCTCCAACTTTAGTAGCCTCTTCTGGTGGAAGTGCCCTCTTACTAAGTTGAATGATATCTGGGTCTTTATGTTGTTCAGAGAGTAAACGTTCTCGGCTGAGGATGTGCTTGCCTTGGCTAACTAGTGGATGCAACTCATCATCCTCACCACCAAATTTTGGTAAAAGTTCTTTCTTCTCTTGCTTCTTGATATGGTGTGGTTCCATGCTTGTTTGAGTGCCATCAAGGTCAGATAAGAAAGTGTCATTCAAATCAATATCAACAGAGGAATTCGTCTCGTCAAAGACTTGAGTATGGTCTGCCTCCATTTCTCGTCTTCTGGCCATCGCTCTAGTAACAGCACAGGCTGGATAAATGTCATCATCTTCATCATCGCACATGACATTGGAAGTGATTTTCTCACAAACTATAGGATCAGGTTCAACCTTCCCACCAGCTAAATCGCTGCCTAACAACAAAGAAATGCCTGGAACGGGAAGAGTAGGTCGAACACCTACAATAACAGGTCCAGTAACTAAATCTGACTTTAAACTAATTCTATGCAGGGGAACATCAATGACGCCTAGCTCCACACCCTGTAATAAAACTGACCCACCAGTAGAAGTCTGCTCAGACAAAGGAAGCACGCCCTCTAACAATAACGTCTGTGCAGCACCAGTATCTCTCAAAATCTGGACAGGTCTTATTTCGCTAGAGTCACCGAGTGAAACCAATCCCTGAGATATAAAGGGCTTATAATCCTCCATAGAATCAATAGAACTGGACTATGAACCCTGGACATCAGGAGTGTCAGAACAAATCGAAACTAGGGCTTCTCTATCACCTCTAACTGCCGCACAAGCGTGTGGTTGAGTTTTATCAAAATCATTTTTTCTCTTAAGTTTAAAGCATTCACTGATCAGATGACCCTTTTTTCTTACAATAACTACAAGTAGGAAGCGACCCTATTTCAGACGATCCTTCAACACGTCCTGGACCGGACTTAAAACCACCTTGTGATGGAGACTGGAAACTTGTGGAAGACTGAGACCCTGAACCACTCTTTTTATATGTGTCTGAATTGGTAGAATTACTGCTAGTCTGAGATCTTGATACAAAATTCTTTTTATGAGACAGAGCATAAGTATCAGATATGACTGCTGCCTCTTCAAGAGTTTTCACATTCTTATCTTCTAAATGTGTTTTCAAATCTTGAGAAACACATTCCTTAAACTCTTCTACCAGGATGACTTGGCGCAAATTAGCAAAAGTTTTATCAAGTTTCTTACATCTAAACCAGTGATCGAATAAATCTTTCTCTCGTGAAAATTCAACAAATGTTTGATTATCAAACTTCCTATACTTTCTGAATTTTTGTCTATATGCTTCAGGTACTAATTCATATGCTTTTAATATTGCTGCTTTGACCTTCTCATAGTCTGAACTCTCAGCTACCCCTAGTGCAGAGTATACCTCAGCTGCTTTGCCAACCAGTACACTTTGTAACATTGTTGACCAAACGTGTTGTGGTCATTTAAGATTCTCTGCGACTTTTTCGAATTGGGGAAAATATTTGTCTACAGATTTTTCTTGAAATTTCGGAACTAACCTAATATATTTTGCTGCGTCAAATAAATTCTTGACAAATGACGGTTCTGGTTGGTGCTGTAGTCTTAATTTCTCTAACTCAAAGTGCTCTTGTCTTTCTAATTTGTCTAATTCAAATTTTCGTTCACGCTCTCGTTCTTCTATTTCTAATTTTTCTCTTTCAGATCGCATTTTCTCTAACTCTAATTGAAACTGATATTCTGCCATTTTATAAGAGCCTAACTCTGATTTAACTATATATTCTGGAAGATCGTATTTTTCAAAGACGTTTTCTTCTACTAGTTTGTTTGCAACCTTAATTCTAATGTCTTGCTTTCGCTGAGAGGATTTAACATCTAATCCAAAATGCAAACCTAATGCGATCAAGTCATCCTTTTTTAACGTATCAAAAACCTGAACACTTGGTGAACTAAGAAAGTCTGTGACCGAAAACACCATGTTGATTTCTGCTGGCTTATAATTAAATTTAACGGTTCAATAAACAAAATGCTGACAATAAACTGCAAAAGTGCAAGAAATTCTTTATCCTGGACGAGCCCCCATTTCTGTTATGGGTCAGAATAACCCTAAATGCCAGCAAAGATCAATAACACAATTTAAACTTAACAATAATTTATTTACAGTAATAAATAATAAGTATATGAAACATAAAGTACAAACTTAGCAAGAATCTAAAAATACATACATCAGAGTGTCCGTTGCTGCACACAATGTCCCAGTGAAAATATATATCCCAGTTATATCTCAATAGTGCTTATACGACAAAGTATAGTATCTCTATGCATCGAATTGACAGGGTATTTATACAGTAATATAAATCTAGAATATTCTAGAAATTGTTAAAATATGATATTACTGGAACAATCTGGACATACACAAAATTTAAGAATGTTCTAGATAAAATGACCGAACATGTTGACTATGCACTCTGGAATGTTCAAGAAACTGAATGTTACTAATTACATACATAATGAAACAATACACATCTCACAACAATTATACATTGAATACCTTAAGTAGACGGGTACCTGTAAAGTGCGAAACGAAATAGAAACGAAACGAAACGAAACGAACTGAAACGAAACGAAACCTGCCGAAACGAAACGAAATCTACAGAAACGAAACAAAACTTACCGAAACGAAACGAAATCAAGACGAAACGAAACGAAATCAAAACGAAACCTGCCGAAACGAAACGAAACAAAACTATCAAAATGTTTTTTTTTTTTTCAAATCAAGGTACATGTACATGTATATAATTATATATGTGTAACTGCATGTGGACTTTTTTTTACTTCAAATAAAAGAATTTATATAGTTCAAGCACTTGTTAACATAAAATTTAATTACTGATAAGTTATGCTCCCTTCTCAGTCTGATGATGTATTTACATTTTTGCCAGCTGCAAATATGCACGAGCGTACTATGCATGTATGATTTCAATATGTGAAGTATTTTCTAATTTTTATATCTTACTCTTATTTTCAGTCCTTATTTATCTAGATAACACATACATGTATCTATCAAAATTGATGTGTTACGTGTAAAGGCTCCTTTATGTACGGGTCGAAATAGTCACTGTACTGTTGTATTGCGAATGTCTTAAAACAAAGGATAAATCAGAGACTAAGAGTATTTAGTATTCCATTCCGAGGAGTCTGGTTTTATTGTTCAATTATACATGTAACTACAACCGGCATCTTGTGTATCCTTTCTACGTACATACGGTCCTATTTTAATCGAGATAATTTTCGAGGAAGAAATGAGTGATTTGCAATAAAGAGGCTCGATCAGAGACGTCTAAAACGATTTAACTAACAAGAAAAAAGTCTCTCGAAGCGAACGGTGTCAATTTTAAATAGTAAATAAATTATTCAGTAAGATATTAACAAAATATGACATAGGCGTCGGAAGCGGGGGGTTGGCCTTATATATGGGGGGGAACTCCATCTGCCAATGGTTTTGATTTAGCTTCACTCATACCATTTAAATACAGATGTGTGGCCCCCCCCCATTATTTGCAAAAAGATATGTATTAATTATAGGCAATGAAAATTGGGAATACCTTTTTGTTGGTTAAGCCCCCATCTTTCAATTTCCTTCCTACGCGTACGCCTATGTATGAGCTTGAAGCGAAACAATTGCCTGTGGTGCTTGAACAATATAAATTTCATTTGAAATAAAAATAGACCATATAAACATTCTGAAATTTTTGTTTCGTTTCGGCAGGTTTCGTCTTGATTTCGTTTCGTTTCGTTTCGTGTCTGTAGATTTCGTTTCGTTTCGGCAGATTTCGTTTCGTTTCGTTTCTATTTCGTTTCGCACTTTACAGGTACCCTAAGTAGACATCTCGAATTAAAGTTTTTTATATGTCTGTTTTAGAGATAACAAGTTTAGTTACTCGTATATATATTTTCAAAATGACTATTTTAAAAAATCGACAAAAGCTACAACAGTTTATAGAAATCAAACAAAATTAAATACTAATAGGTTTAAATTATAAACAGTAAAAAGAGGTTTATTTATAAGACCCTAATTTTAATATATGTACCAACTGGCTGACATCCTCTTCCTTTGTCCACAGAGACTGCAAATTGTGTCTTCCATCTTTTTCCTGTTCCATGAGTAGTTACCATCAGCAACGCCGACGAAAGGGAAGAGTAGCAACAACGATTTTAGCATGTTGTATGGATAGCTCAACTTAAAGTAGAGTGCACAGAACTCAAGTGTTGTCCTCCTCTTATATCAGATTTTAAAATCATAATGATTAGATAAAGGATAAAGGATCTAATTTCAATCTTTACAATACATGCAACAATAAACGCTATCCGTTTCAATTCAATTTCCCCTTTCAAAGATAACACTTTGTTTTTATTAGTTTCACCACGCAGTAAATGTAAGTCTGATTTTGAACGTTTAATTCTTGTGTCATAAATAACAAATAAAAGCTACTTTAATTGTCTTTATATTATTTTCAGTAACATACTATCATGCTTATTCAGGCAGAAGAAGTATCCCAAATTACCTCAAGAAGTAAATCGGTGGTAAAAGCCTGTTTATCAAGACCTTTATCCTCCAATAAAATTTGTAACCATGCTCTTTCCTCTTTATGTGGCACCTGATCCTATGTCTGATGCTTTAGAGGTCCGTTTCCCAATATTATTTTGTTTGAATCAGACGTTTGAACTTGAATACTGTTCGTTATCTCAATATTTTATTCAGACAGGCTCTATAGTAACTAAAAACATAAAATGTAGGTTAATACATATGGATTTTGGATTTTGAATAAAATTTATGCCTTAGATTTTTAAAATAAAGAATGATCTATGAATTGCAGATTAATCTGTGATGTTTCAACCATGCTGAAAAAAATGGACCAAGGTACTTTTTACAAATGTTCTTTCCTATTCCAATAAATCGCGCTAAAATGTACGCACGTTAAAAAGTACATTTTTACGATCGTATTCAATATCAAAGTCCATAAAACAATACAAAATAGGAGCAGGGCAAACACGGACCTCTGAATAAATTCAAATTATAGTACTTTATCTTTTCTATTGCTGAAATTGCTATATTGTTTTAAATTTACATATACGTTCGTATTTCGTTTTTGTTTTCTTTACATCATCAACAATTTATGATTTTACACTATTAAGACTTTGCAAAGAAATCGTTTTACATAATATCTATATAGTTTTTGGAGACCAGGTATACCAACAATCTATTGGAATTCCCATGGGTACCAATTCCGCTCCGTTATTAGCAGACCTATTTTATATTCATATATTCATATGAAGCAGAATTTGTGCAAAATATCATGCGTGAAAAGAAGAAAACAATTGCAGACCTATTTTTGTAATCATATGAAGCAGAATTTGTGCAAAATCTTATGTGTGAAAAGAAGAAAACACTTGCTGTGGCCTCCAACTCGACTTTTAGATATATCGACGACGTATTGTCATTTAACAATGGTAATTTCCATTCCTACGTCGATACGATATATCCTAATGAGCTTGAGATAAAAGATACCACAGAGTCTGACACATCTGTTTCATACTTGGATATTTTTCTTGAAAAAGACGTTAATGGCAATATATATAACAACCAAGCTATTTGATAAACGTGATGACTTCAACTTTTCTATAGTCAACTTCCCTTACTTATGCAGCAATATACTGAAAATGTATTACATATGGCGTGTACAATATTTGGCGGAAATTCAATTTTGAACAAGTTAGCTTAGATTTGATTTAGCGCTGTCTGAATTTGCTAGTTATAAAAGTTAATAAACAAGACATTTAGCGATGTACTTGAATTAGCGGACTCTGCTTTCCGCCAAAATCGCTAAATAGAATAAACCGCTAAATGTAATACGTTTACAGTACCTTCATCACCTGCATACGGACTATATCTATTTCAGTTGATTCGATACGCAAGAGCATGCTCTACGAATGAATAATTTCTAAAACGAGGTGAATTATTGACAAACAAGTTGATAAAACAAGAATATCAGCATACTCGTTTAAAGTCATCATTTCGTAAGTTTTACGGTCGATACAATGACCTTGTCAGCAAATACAGTTTATCCTTGTCTCAAATGCTAACTGACGTTTTTCATAATAATTGTTAGTCCATTATTTATACACTGAATTGACAACGGATTTTCCCGTTGTTACCTTATAATCATGACAAGGAGCACACGGCGGGTGTGACTGGTCAGAAGGGGATGCTCAATCCTCCATGGCACCCGATCCCACCTCTGATGTTTCGGAGGTCCGTGTTTGCTCTGCTCCTATTTTGAATTGTTTTATGGACTTCGATATTGAATACTGTTAATTATCTCCATATCCTTCATACACGTTTATTCAATATTTGCACCTTAAAATTTATACTGATTAAAAAGAAATTATTGCTGAAGTTATATTTTTTCTCTCTTTATATGAATGATACTTTTTAAAAATTGTGTAATATGCAATTTCAATTGTTTCATTCATTTTTAATTATTATTGTCTATTCAAATACAAACAAATACATAACTGATCTTGATAATTCAAGAATATTTCAAGATTATTCAAGATAATCATACGAATATGTATCCTTTTGCAGTTGAAATTGTACGGGAACAAAGGAAAGTTGGATTTTCTTTCGGATGCCAGTTGTTTTAATGGAGACCAGTCGTTGTAGAAAGTATATTTATAGTCTTTCGATCTTGCAGGTTATCCTGCAATGCCTCGGATATTATATAATTATTTCAAACAATATTTTGAAATCATCCACAGAACCTCGAATTTTTCCCTTAACTATACCATAAGATTCGTTATGTTATAGTTCAAGGCAATTAATGAAAGCAAGCATTTTTTCCTAAAAGTGAGAAGTCTGAAATAACGTCCTTGTTTATCTATACCCTTCTTCCTTTAATTTTGAAAGTCTATATATCCTCTATATTGCTTGTTCTATCAGTTGCTTTGTAATATGATGAACTTGAGGAAGCATGTTTAAATATCATTATTATATACTTTTTTCTTCTATAATACATAACTTTGGTTATGTAAGCACTAAATTTTACACCTTCTTTCCTCGAACACATTGTAAAGTATATAAAACGGGCACACACTTTATTTTAAAAATCTCAGTACTGCAAATTCCTGACTGTATGTCAAAAAATCAATTCCTAGTCCATAAAGTAACTACATGTATCAATAATAAAAATGTTTGGTTAATGGTTATACATCTACATTACAAAAATAAAGAAATAATGATATTAAACCGAGTCAATAACATTTGGGCGCTTCTTCTTCAGCATCCAGATGATAAAGACACTGATTACAATCAGCACAGGAACGGCCACACCTACCCCAACGTAGACATAAGTCATAGAGGAGGAACTTTTTGTTGAGGGATCTCTCTGACGATTACTGAGTTGTGGCGGTGTAGACACTATCACTGTGCTTCCATGTTTGTCTGATGAGGAGCTATCGGTCATTGGCAAGCCGAACGCATCTGTTCTAATGATTAAAACCGGAGTTCCATAAGCATCGGTTAACACGTTACTCCGTCTTTGTAAATGTTTTTTAAGAAAATCCGTTCTCGTGAAATGATTCATGTACCTTCCTCTGGACATTTTCATAGCTAATTTTCGAATTGCAGTGTTGGATATTGTTTCTTCCCTCGAGCCTTGAAAAGAAAAAGGATTTTTTTTTGTCCCATTACACTTTGGACTGCCCATGAAAATGAAAATTCAAGTTAACTGCAATGCTCTCAGCACTAAACAAGAAGTATGTCTTATATCAATCTTTGAATTTGATTGTTTGTTTTAGAAGTCTAATTGATTATTTCATTCACTTGAGTAACCTTTTTTGCAATCGTGAAATCAAATGTGTTTGTCTTTTTAGTTTTATGGAATTACCTAGAAACAGCGGAATAAGGAACAGAATGATTAATGCTGGTTTGATATGCAATACCATTTCTGTAAAAAAAATTATCTGTTAGTGTAATGATAAATAAAATACTTAATACACAATATTTTTGTATACATCGTTATACAATAAAATAAGGTTACAAGGAACACGTTTTTAAGAGATTGACACTTACAGTGAGTGAAGTTCTTTTCAATCCCCATGGCTTAAAAATATATTGTAAACTTAATGGACATAACCTATACATAACAAATGTCAAAGAGAGTTAAAAATCTTGAATATAGTCCGTTCTGCATTCATTTGATCCTGTTATTCCAGGTTGAATGAAGACAATCTCTTAGTTTTTGGTTAGCCCTTTTGTGTTCCGAAGAGTAAAAAGAAACCTTATGTGAACATAACAATACCAAATGGAGCAGCCTATATGTCATTGCTTCCAACGATAACTCAGAAATCGAGACTTTTTTCTCGCTTTTTACACTTGAGTTACCTGTCTTTAAAAACAGCGCCATACAAATGAAATACTAATATTAATAACACATTTTTAAAAGTTTAATTTAATGTGTTTATAGGTAACAATCTTTTTTTTTTTGAGATTTTCGCATACAAGGGATGTATACTCCTCCGTAGCACCTGATCCTATCTCGGATGTCGTAGAAGTCTATGCTTACTCTGCTTCTGACTTGTTTTGTTGAAATGACATTTTAAGCCTGATTACTGTTTGATATCCTCATACTTATATTTCTTGTCGGGTTTTTTTTTTGGTGGTCTCTGCACTTTAATGTTAACAAGTCTGTATGATCACATGAATGTAGGGTTCTAAATATGTCGCAATATAAGAGGGATCAGAGATCCGATAAACACTTGTCAGTCTTTATTTTAAAATCATATCATTAATAGCAGTTGTTGTTACCACATCATTCAAAGATGAAATGTCCTCAAATGTATCATGGCTCCCTATTCTACCCACAATGAGCAAGGCAGTAGCAACACCCTACAACATGGGATTAGTTTGTACAATGGGACTAGATCGCCTCCGTTGTTGCTAAGTGTTAGAGGCGCTATTCGATGACATCTCTAACCAACTAAATGGAATATTAGGTAGAAACCGTGGAGTCTTCTCAGAATTTTTGGTTTTACGTAAAATATGTACCATTCAACCTGACGACTCGCATCTGTCAAATCGAATTGTTGATTATCACTTACTTTGCACACAAAAGCTGGTCAAACTTTTTTAAAAGAACAGATTATCAAATGTCAAATGCTGAGGAAGTTTTCACTGGGATTATATTTTAAAATTTTTTTTACTCAGGTTTTACATGTAATTTAAGTATACATATGTTAAGTTGCAGACCACAAACATATAAATTATAACGTTTTCTCCTTCCACTCTACTCTCTCTTTCTCAAAAAAGTTACAATATTGTAATTAGAATAACGGTTAACATAAGGAAGCCTTGATTTATCATCTAGACAAAGGTTTTTTTTTTTTTTACTAATTAGTGAATTGTTAGAAATGCTGTAAATATATTTTCTAAACAAAAGAATATTAAGCTTTTATATTATAATTGTTGAAGCTATAGACATGTTCTATTAGCCATGTTTTCTTTTGATTTTTTGAAATGAATTATTGAGCTGACTTACTTCTTACGTATAAGCCCAGTTTCAATATTCCTTTAGGTTTACAGCTGTATATGAAGACGGATCATTCTTTGTCTCGAAATGTAATTCCTTTATATAAACCGTTTGTATATGCGTAGAAAATGCTGCATGAGTTTAAAACAACAATTCAAGAGGTTCCAAAAGGTAAGATTGGTGCCTGGACATTTCGCACCTATAAAGGTAATTTTCCTAATTTCCGATTATAGAATAATCAAGGAGATTAATTCTTTTATTATTGACCTCCAAACTTGAAAAGTGGGAGGGTATACAGTTATTGGGGTGTCTGTCTGTCCGTCCATCTGTACTTCCGTTTGTTACGCTTTGGGTTCCCATTTCCTATCCGTAACTCCTCTATTGCCACAGAATGAAATTTGATGAAATTTTCACAGAATCTTTATTACATAATGCCATTGTGCATCACCTATTTTACTTTTTGATCTAACAAATATTTTGGGTCTTCCATATCAAAACATGGACACTGCCATCATATTCATATGGGAGGCGGTAAAATTGTTTAGTGAGCTCATTGCTCTTCGTACCTCTAGTTTATTTAATGATAGTAAAATGTTATATAACAAAATATAAACACTTATTTTATAAATTCCTGAGTCTGATACTAAAATTTGGGGTGAAAAATTAAACAACGTTTTATTAATAAATGAATTTACAAATAGAGAAAAAAAAATAGGTGCAATAGAAAAAAATTAAAAAGTAAATAAAAACAGCATCGTTGAAAAATACACTGGTAAAGTTACCAGAAGGACAACATAATGCTAGTTTTGTCAACGATTTTAATTGGTGAATGAAACGACACTTTTTAGTCAAGGTATTACAAGGTGAGATATACTAGTACAGTGTATATGGGTTTAGAATTATCAAGTAAGAGATCAACAAAAAAATATTAGAATTTTACGATTTTGAAAAGTAAAATTGAGTTTGACACAAATTGTTTTAGCAAAACTTAAATAACAAAGTTGGAAATGAAAAAGAGTACCGGTAGGAAGGGAAGTTTACTCATGTCTTAATATTTCAGTAGAATTATTTATTATACCTTCATCTCGCCAAAGATATCAAACATATTTATCAAGTGCTACATAAAAACTCTATTGTTTGCATTTAATGTTACTGCGTAAATTGGATTTGTGTCCCAATACTTGAATATCAAATAAAGAATTGTCAGTCAGACGGTGTAGTTAAATAAATTTCGTCGCCTTAAATACAAATCAGAGTAAAAAAAAATTACATAAGCAGCGAAATACTTTCCACAGTGAAGCTCAATTCCATCATAATTTCCATTTTTTAGTAAATATAAACAGTTATTATGATAAAGATAACGAGGCATCTCAGATTGTATGACAAACGAGATGATTTCAGCTTTTCCATCTTCAGATTTCCTTATTTATGATGTGCAGTTTTCACATATCATCTGCTTATTTAAATTTATGTCTTCCAACATTTTCGTTACTCGAGATTTGCTTGAATCAATTTTTAAAGACAGCCACGTTACTCATTGATAAGTTGATGCTACAGCGAGATTTTAACAACCTTGTTTACGGTCATCATTTTGGAAATTCTATGGTCGTTAATATAAACTTGTAACCAGATATAACCTATCGTTGCTTTGTATTTTGGCTGACGTGTTTCATTTTGAAAATTAATTTTGAATTTCTAAAGTTTTCATTTTTTTTATAAAATCGATCACTGTTCGTTTTCTTCAATTATTTTTAAATGTAGATCTTCATTTTAACTCACATGACCGCGCTGATTATAAACTGATCATTACTCCGCAAGGGTCTCAATCCAGAGATTCTAAATAATGTATATTGAGAGATTTACTAAATATATAAGAGAAAATGCAAACTTCAGTTACTAGGTAATTTTTATTTCAAAATTGAAAGAATTATTTTTAGGTGGTATTCATTTTTTCTCAGTAACAGACTATCCACTTTAAAATAAAAATGACTTTGGTATCTAGTAATCTGTTAACCAATTGCCATTCCTAGTTTAACTAATGTTATTTACAATTTATGGTAATTAAAAACAGTAATAATAACTGTCAGAGTACTTTATTTTATTCAGAAGGATTTTTTCTAATTATTCACATTTTATTAGAATTTGGGGACGTTATATTGTACGGATTTATTTGTTGAAGATAACAGAAATTGCTTACCTGACATCTTTTACAGATGAGTTTAAAATTAAACTCTTGACATGTTGATCAATTGCATAAAACTGCTAACGTGTTGTAAAGTTAAGATACTTAGCGTGATATATTATTAATATTAAGAATGTGATTTCTACTTTTAAAAACATTTTTTTTATTTAATTCGTTTAATGAAAGCAAAAAGAATATTGTCTTATGTTAATATTAAACTGTTAACGCTATGAAGAAGAAAAATCAATTCTTCTTAATATAGAAAGTCACGACATAAAATGCTAATATTTTTATAATAACAAAAGCTTAATCGTGTATAGACGAATGAAATAGATATTAAACAACAGGGCTAGGTATTTTTTATATAGCTGGACCATAAAATATACATACTGGTAAATATGAACACTAACTGCAAATGAAAATGCGGTAAGATAAAATAATATTCCAAAAATTATATAGAATTATAATGTTTATATTAATATGTAGAATAGATTTCAAACGGATAAAAGGTGACAAAAAGCAGATAAGCGATTAAAAAAGTCTGTTCAAACACATTAGTTGACTTTTCTTCAGAAAATTCCAAATAATGCATCCTTTTGGACTTATAGTGTCTTCAAAAAACAGGTACGTTGATATTGTCCAAGATACAAGTTGTGTGTTAAATTAGAATTTATTGTCTCAACATGGATTGAGTCTGCTGGAATTTGGCTTGGAGCACATTTTGCTACTTTCTATGATTTTTTTTTATTCTTACAAAGCCTTTTTATTAAATAACTACTTGAAGAGAAAACTTTTGCTGTGGCTTTTAAGTTGACATTTTAATTAAATACTGTTCATTATCTCCATATGGTTAATAAACAAGGCTTGATCAAATAACATTATATGTCAATTCGATAATTCGCAGTAAACACGAATAAATCAGAGAAATTGCAGAATGCGTGTTTCATGTTTGGACGCTTTACTATTTGTAGTCCATAATGAGAACAATAACATCTCAATTTTTGACAAAAGCAATGTTTTCAACTTTTGTTCGCCATTTTAGATTTAAACACCGGTCACACCCGCCGTGTGCTCCTTGTCATGATCGGGAAAAAAACGGAAAAATCCGTCGTCAATTCAGTGCATAATTAATGGACTAACAATTAGTATGAAAAACGTCAATCTGCATTTGACTCAATGATAAATTGTATTTGCTGACAAGGTCATTGTGTCGGACATAGAACTCACGAAATAATGACTTTAAATTAGACAGCTGCAATACTTATTTCATCAACTTGTGTGCCAATCATTTACCTCGAAATTGTTCTTACGTAAAGCATGCGCTTGCGTATCAAATCAACTGATATATTTAAACTCCGTATGCAGGTGATGAAGTTATATTGCGCATAAATTAGTTGACGATAGAAAAGTTAAAGTCATCACTTTTAACATGGAGCTTGGTTGTTAGATTACCATTAACGTCTTTTTTAAGTGAAATATCCAAATATGAAACAGATGTGTCAGACTATGTGGTATCTTGTATCTGGACAGAAATATCTTGCCATCCAGAATAGCAGAATAAATATCTAAATTTTTTAATGGTCCCGGTTTTAGGTCCAGAATGGCTACGATTATGGGAAAGTTTTGATGGGGAAAGAGTAAAAAGAATGTGTTAGTTACACAGAATAAGTTATAATTTGAGACTGCACTTTTAATAATCGAGAAACAGCACTCTTCCATGTGGGTAATAAATAAACATTTTTATGCGTATAGCCCTTTGGTCGTCAATCCCAATAGATTCAGACTAGAGCTACAAACCCGCAACTAATTTTTGATACTTTTGATAGAATAAAGTAATTATGATTTAGTAGTTTTTGTTCTGACTTTATTTTAAGATAAAATGAAAAATGAATATTCGTATAAAGCATAAAATATCAAACTGTTCAATGGTACAATACAATGAATAATAAGAGTTTAAGAGCTCAATAGACGCAGAGATCGTTGATCAGCTGGTATTTCGTCTTTTTAAAAAGTTTCCAAAAGGAAGAATGATTGTGCATGCTTTGTGACAATCGTGGTTGCGGAAATGATATGACTTAACTCATAATAAGTTAATTTTAAGCTGATTGTGGATCATAATGATAGTGACAATATTATCAACTGGTGCTCTAAAGACAGAGAAAAAGAACATATTTTATAGTCATCCCAATCAATATTCTCAACCCATAAAAACCTGTTAATCTAGATCACTAATTCTCCTTTTCTTTCTCTTCCCTTTTTTATTTTTCTTTTGTGTAGATGGATCTAAATCACTTTGTCTATTAATGTTCTGTTGGGGCGAATCTAAATCACTAGGTACATGTATAGTAAAGTTCTGTTGGGGCGGATCTAAATCACTAGGAATTTGAATGTTCTGTTGGGGCGGATCTAAATCAATAGGTTTATATGTATTCTGTTTGGGTGGATTAAAATCACTAGGCATATTTATGTTCTGTTGTTGCGGATCTAAATTACTAGCTATATAAATGTTCTGTTGGGGTGGATCTATATTTCTTTGAATGTCGTTTTCTCTATCGGTTGGGTTTACTCTAGTGTTTCTGATATCGCTAGAAGTGTTTCCTTTTCCATCAGATTGCAATTCTTTATCAATAATCCGCAATAAAACAAACCCAACATCGTTAGCGATACACAAAATGATGGAGAATATCAATGCTACAATGTCCCACTTCCGGCTTTCCTCAACAGAACACGTGTAATCGCCACCATCAACAGATATGGCGATGCAAAAGATTAAAAGCATGATGACGGGAACCGAACAGAGTCCAACAGCTATGACATTTATTCCGAAGCTCACCCCGTTCATCACTCTGTAAACATTCACCTGTCACAAGAAAATATCTATATTATATTATATTACTACAATGTAAATCCTATAACATGTATAAAAGATATTTTTATTCGTAAAATCAAAAGAAGTTAGGTTTCTCAAGCAAGTAAAAGATGTTGGTCTCATGAAAGAGGATAACACAATACGACACTGGAGCAGAAAATAAAATAAAACGAAGTGACTTACTCTCATGATGTAGGTGGGAGATGGTAGATTTCGATCATCAATATCCATGTTAGAGACAAAGTAACAAAATATACCACTTAACAGGAGCTACAAATAAAATTGTAATAAAAGCAAATGTTTTTTTCATGAGCATGACCGGCATATCCTTATTGTAAATAAAACCTTGTGATACATTTGCATGCCAAACTATATTATATTACATTACCGCGGGTATATTATATCATTATATTAAATTATTAATCATATTATAGCATATTATTTTAAAATTGTATTATATTATTAATTATATTTATATAATATCATTACCACTGCTCCTGACCATATTGGAGCGCCTGTGTCCCTTGAGAAAACGAACGTCTCTTTGTCTTTATCGACAATCAGTAAAATTCCAAATATGATGCTTCCTGCTGAAATGCCTATCAAAACAATGGACATCAAAAAGAAATGTCCGGCAGCGTTCTTTTGTCTCTTTGAAAGATCAACTGGAAAAGATATATTTATTTTAATTAACAAAATCTCTTATTTGATTACCTTAATGGTAGGAAAATGATTGCGAGAATTTTTCATTTACATTTGAAGACACTATATGGTGAGATACTTTAATTTCAGAACTTTCTTGATACTCAGGACCATCGAACAGTGAGGGTACTTTATCGTTTAGGTAACTAATGGAATCATGACATAGGCCTTGGTTTTTTAGGCCTCATCCAAAAGATCCTATACACAGAAATCTTAAGATAGGATCTGAACATGGCATGTTTATGTTACAGATCTACGAGCTATCTTCGAAAACATTAAATGGTGGCTAAAATGAAAGAAGTCACCAGTGACCGAACGCTTAGGAGTATCTTTCATTTAAGAATTTCTTCTAAAATATTGCTTTCTAATCTGTTTTGACAATTGGGTTTACATGATAAAGTGGGTGAAAAGTGAAAGATTTTAAATGAAGGATATGGAGATAACGGACAGTATTCAATATCAAAAAAGTATAAAACAATACAAATTCAATCAACCTCCGATACATCAGAGGTGGGACTGCTGACCGGTCCCAACAGCCGTGTTCTTCTTGTCATGATAAATAAATAACGGAAAAATGATAAATAATGGACTAACAATTGGTATGAAAAATGTCCGTCAGATGTATAGTATGGTGTCATCCGACATATGACCTTTAGCATGTTTAACGAATCTGGTTGTTAGATGTTTTTTTATGAAGAATGAAATCAGTTGAAAAAGTACATAAACATTTGAATATCTTCAATTGTATCAAGTTCAATTCTACAATTCGATGCAAACGAACAATTTATAAAATAAAGTAGGTATTAAAAATAAAGTGATGATACAATGATATCAACCGCAAAATTTACGTTCAATACAGGAACTTTGTATGCAAGTAAAGTCTGTTAAGTCAACTTTTGACTGAATTTGTTCATTCAAATCACTAGACTATTGTTTTAACATCAGTTTATCTACAGATATTCTTGTTTCTCCGAAACTGATAAGAAGCACACGGAGGACCCTGTGACCGGTCGTCGGGAGATCCTTTCTTTCATGGCACCTGCTTCTACCTCTTTTTTTAGAGATCCATTTTGCCTCTGCTTATAATTTGTGTTGATTTCAAAAGACGTTTGAGAATGATCTTTGTTCATTATCGACCGATTTCTTCGAGTTTGTTTTAAGTAGATTTTATATATTTACATACATGTATATGCATATAAATGTATTCAAAGCATTTTTACATCTTTAATTCTTACCAGATGAGTGTGGGAAGGCATTTTCGTTTTGTGATGTGTTCACCATCTTTGTTATGTCAAGACCGTTTCTTGTGACTCGGCCAATCTTTTTCAAGCGTAACATTAACTTTATTGTGCATATATTGCGCAGTGTACAACTTTTTGAATGCATGCTTGTCGATGTAATTTAAGAAAACATTTAAATCATTCGAATGTAAACGGAGAAAGGTTGTTTGCCCATGTTGCTTTTGAAATATTGTACACTGAAATATTTGTTGTAAAAGCGATAGGCAAAAATACTGTAGAAGTACTTTTTTTTCCGCGTGGTATTAATTTACGCTATGTACGCGGTCACAAATTTTCCGCGGAAATTTGTCCAAGCGTACTAAATATAAATGTATAAGCCATATAGTGACAATCTAGAAAATCCGCGTAATTTCTACCCGCGGATCAAACAGAAATTGAGATTCCACGGAATTATGTCCCCTTGGAAAAAAGTACGTCTACAGTATTTCTAATTGAATAATCAGAATCTTTGCAAGGTATTCTATTAAACTTGCACAATGGGTTTCCAGAAGTGTTTAATTTTGAGATACTTTAAGACTACTTATTTGTGGTAAATATCCCGTATTTATTATATGATTGAATAATTTCCTTCTCTCTGATTGGCTGAGATCCAACTATGTTAGAAAAATACTACGTTGTATTGACCTGCACGTGACGTTCCAGGTCAATACAAGGAATTATTGCAGGTCAATATAAGGAATTATTGACCTGTTCCATTTATTCTGTTACAATGTGTTCTTGTTGAAATTTCTTGTTAAAACTTTCAATGAAAGCAAAGAAACAGTCCTGTAGGAGTTTGCTGTTGTTTAATCATATAATAAAACAGTTATTGCTGTTTTTTACTGTCAATACGATGATTTAGACACCTTCGAAGTACAATATTCACTTCGCCCTTCGGGCTCAGTGAATATTGTACTCTTCAGGTGTCTAAATCATCGTATTGACCTTAAAAACAGCAATAATTGTATATTATGACGAATATAACCAGGCCGATTGGTCTTCTGATTAAAAAAAAATGAAAAAAAAATATTAAGAAATAAACGCAAATGTGCCAAATTACCAACACGCATAAAGAGTAGATTCATTTTTTTTTTATAAATTAAGGATATGGAGATAACGAACAGTATTCAATATCAAAGTCCATAAAACAATACAAAATAGGAGCAGAGCAAACACAGACTTCCGAGATATTAGAGGTGGGATCATGTGCAATGGAGGAGTGAGCATCCCCTGCTGACCTGTCACGCCCGCCTTGACATGATCTGGAAATAACGGGAAAATCCGTCGTCATTTCAGTGTATAAATAATGGACTAAAATAACAAAAAACGTCAATCAGCATTTGACTTTCACGTGATAAATTGTATTTGCTGACAAGGTCATTGTATTGACCATAGATCTTACGAAATGACTTTAAACGAGACTGCTGATATTCTTGTTTCATCAACTTGCTTGGCAATAATTTACCTTTTTTGCTTGATTTGTAATTATTTGCATGAAATGACCCTTTGGATTTATTGTTTAATAAGATATAATTTTTAGTATCTCTCTTATCATATAAATGTAAAGACAGCAAATATTTCCATAGCTGTATGAAGTTTTTCACACTTCATGGTTTATTACGGACCTTTTCACAGCGTAATAATATCTATACATAAAACGATTTGTTCTGCTTTACAATTAGTATGCGCTTCATGATTAGATATGCAAGAGTATGCTCATCGTATGAACAAATTCTATCACGAGGCATATTATTGACAAACAGGTTGATGAAACTAGAATGTCAGCTGTCTTGTTTAAAATCATCATTTCGTAACTTCTATGATAGATATATACAATGGCCTTGTCAGCAAATATAATTTATCACTGAGTCAAATGCTGACTGAAATTTTTCATAATTTTGTTAGTCAATTATTTATACTCTGAATTGACGACGTATATTTTCTGTTATTTCCCTATGATGACAAGCTTAAGGAGCACGCAGCAGGTGTGACCGGTGTCGCATAATTTACGTTCCGGCCGGAACGCTTAATACCTATAATACTGGTTCCGGGCCATATTAAACGTTCCGGTCCGGGTAAGTTTGGTTCCGGTCATAATAAACGTTCCGGGCAACCAAGCACCCTATTTAATTCTTTATTTATAATTAATATTGGCTATTAATTTTAGTTTTTTCAATATCTTCGTATATTATACAGCAGCATTTAAATGTAAGGCATACAATGTTTACATTTCAAGTCAGAATATGCGGTATTTTCACCAGAGACATTTAATTTAATATTTATTGATGTCTCTGATTTGAATAATATATTAATCCATAAAATTCCTGCTGATTATTTTGATTCTTTGTAAACAAGAGAAGGTGTGAAATTTGTTTACATTGATATACCCCATCGTGCTGTTTTACGACACCCTTGGCTTCTGTCGATACAAATAATTGCGCAGACATGCGAATCGGCGTAATCCCACATCAGATGATAATGGTGATAGATTAATTATATTACGGTAAAAAAAAACTTATTGGATGATAATTTAATTCCCTTACAAAATTTTTAAATACCCATAGTTGCGTTTCTGTAAAACCAACTATATTAATCAATTGAAATACAAGAACATAATAGGAAACGATTGGATGACGGATCTAAAACGGGAATTTATAAGTTCAGCCATTTAATATGAAGAAAAAGTGTTTCTTGTTCGTTGATTATTTTTATTCGTCAGGTAAAGCTTTTTTTTTCAATTTCAAAGTAATATCAACAAAATATGATAAACTTGGAAATGTTTCAATGACACGGCTAAAAACTATTGAATAAAGATCAACTCATTTTTATTTATGCGCGTAAGAACATCCTCATTTGTATAAACATTTGTAAAATAAAGAAGAAATGTATGACAGACACAGATCTGTATTTTACTATTTATATGAATAGCATTGTTAAATCTGTGTACTCCCCCCCCCTTTCCTCTGCAGTGAAGTGTAGGCAAAAAACCTGATATGCTTGTATGAAATTTTATATATTTTGATTAACAATTTGTTGAATGTTGAACAAACAAGTCTTAGTGGGGAACGCAACCGCGAACGAAATTTGTTCTATCACCTACCTTACTTTTCAAAAGACATCTTTGAATGACTTTTCCTACAGATATTATAGATTTTTTATACAAAATTTCAAAAACTCTAATTATATATTTATATAAAAAAAAATTTGGTACTGAGGTTCGAACTTTTACCCCCCCCCCCCCCCCCCACTACCACCACCACCACCATCACGAAATAGGATTTTCGAGTTTGGGCAAAGGGCATGATTTTTTTTTTTTTTGGAGGTCTAAAAAAAATTTTTCTTACCCTTAGCCCCCACCTTTCAATTTGCTTCCGACGCCAATGGGAAGAGATGGGGATGTCATATAACACATGTTTAGTACCTGTGACAAAACCTTTCTATATGGTCCTTCCTAAATACACTATGATTTTTGACCCCTTGTTTGATATATGTGACAAGACCTTTCTAAATACACTATGATTTTTGATCTCGTGACCTTGACCTTGACATTTCACATATTCAAAAAATTAACTCATGACTTAAAAATGCGTAACATGTGGTTCTTGAATAAAACTGTGACAAGACCTTTCTAAACACACTGTGAGTTTTGATTTTGTGCCCTTAACCTTGAAGTGTGACATACT